ATAGCTGAGAACCCACGTGGAACCTTTGCAGTTACGTTTTGACGATTGAGCGTGAATTGAAACGCAAATGCTTGGGCTCCAAGTACATGTTGTTAGTATTGCTATGTGAAATGGAGGTTTAGGTCGCTGCGTGCTAATTCTTTATTATGTACGTTATTAGTTGTATGTCCATTTGAAGGGAAGTACGAGCTTGGCTGTTATAAATGAGGGGCGACGCAGAGCACTACGAATCGTACGTGGACGGAGAACTCATAAGCGGAGATGAAAAAAATCATTTCATTAAAAAAGAAGGCATCCGTGAAAATTCTGTTAATGACCCGACAAAAATGTCATTTGAATTCAGCTTCTTCAATTCTTGTATGGATTTAGTGTATAAGTCGCCGCTCAGTGACCGACTACTCGTCATTTACGTACTTTTTTCTTCAGAATTCCTTCTTCTGCTCACCCATCTACTCCTTAGTCTTTGGTAGACTATCTTCGTATGAAAATACCGTTTACACAGGTTGGTGGTCTTGCATCCATTTTCATAAAAAAAAAAAAAATCTCAGGGAAAAGAAACCCCTACCAAACGTTGCTTTGTCTGTTACTGTTCCGTTCGCCAACTACGCCCGAATTCCGGGGAGGATGGGAGGGTCCGTGCGGAGAGATCGGCGAGGACAAAAGCGTGGTTGTGGAGGTGTCGACGGGCCCTCCCTTCCCTCTTCTATTTGTCCTCTGCGGCTTCATCGATCATTCCGAGTTGATGCAGCCGGAGCGCTTCACCCGGCGGCTCTCTGCTTTCCACCCAGGCGAACCATCTGGCTCGCACAAATGGCTCACAAAAAAGCGGAAGTGTGCCTGGTTCCTGTGTGTATTATGTGCGTGTGTGTGTATGAGTGAGAGAGACAGAGAGCGCGAGGGTACGTTGCGGAACTATGCATGCATCTTTGGGCTCAAGTAGTTGATGAATTTAAAATTTCTTTGAATCATGAAGCTACTTACTGCTCGTCGATGGATCGTGCGTCGTTTTCTGGCGTGCCTCGCTCCGCCTCGCGCACGTGCCGGGCGGCCGGCGCGGTGGTGCAGGTGGTGCACGGGCGTATTGTTCGGCGAGGGCGGGGGGAGGTGGGAGCTGCAGCTGCGAGGCGGGAGGGCTCCCGATCGCGCACCGCGGGGTCGCGCGCCGCCCCAAATGGAGTCCGCTCGCTCCCACGTTGATGGTCGTGCCGTAGCACGCGAGTCGTAGCGTAGGCAAGGGAAATGGTTGATCCGGGTGAAGCGATTTCAGAAACGTTGCATAAAAATAAAAGGAGGACAGAAATAATTAGAAAAAACAACAACCAGTGGTGCATACAACTAAAAGCGCATACTTTCTCGCATTTGTCGCTTTTGCAATTTTTGAAAGTTCAGTCGAAATTTTCGAAAGATCTGCCTTTGAAGAAGAAATTTTATTAAGAAAAAAATCGTTTACTTTACCTTTATCATGCATTAACCGGCTCACTGGATAGTGGAAATTCTCAGAATACTTTATATTGCGATATAAATGCCAATGCAGTGTCACGCCACTTTGTTACATATCTGGCAATATATGCCCTGAGATACTATATTTTCTATCCAATATAGGAATGATGTTGCACTAATGAACTTATGACGTATCACCATTTGAGGAAGAGGTAGGAATACGGGATACCCTTTTTGTTTTGGGACCAACAAGGTGCCATAATAATTGTAATTAAAAAGTGAATTGCGGTTTGTTACTATGTTTAATATAAAATGGGGTGAATTAACGCAAATGTAGAACTATTAGGTTTTATGTAATATTTAATTTTCCGAAATAGTGTCACTGCCAGTGAATTGGAAACTTGGGTAGTAATATGAGACAGTACTGCCTTATAGAGAGAGAGAGAGAAAAAACACTGGAGTTGTTACAATAAGTTATAAAATGGCTTTAATGACATACTACACTATGTACAATAAGTAGAAATACATGTTTACGAATCACTTGGCTTTACAATAATCGCAAATACAGTCTGCATTCTCTCGAACGGTACAATCACTGTGGGCCCAGAGTGTGCACAAGATACACTGAATTCACAATTCACCCGTACAACTTAAGAAAATTTACAGTCATTTAAACAGTTTGGTAATAATATGAGACGATCTCATACTCCTCCCAATCAAGTGGCTCATGTTACAATCACCACGGCATCTTAGATTTTGCCAACAAAACGTACCAAACATGGCATTTAATTTAAAATCCTCCGTGATATTACAATCTTCAATATTTAAATGTCAACTTACCTCCTACATTTGTTGCAAAATTATAGATATGTCGAAGAAAATTGCACTTCAGTGCAGAGGCACAAACACTTTTCACAGCCCTACCAACTGCAGAAGTTTGCCTCGGTAAACATCGAAGACTGAAGTGACCGGCCGTCGAGGAAATGTAATCGTGACCGTAGACTACGTAGTTCTCCAGTCACTCGACAAATGTCTAAACTATGAAGCGGCGAAAACCTTGCTATCTCGTATTCCTACCTCTTCCCGTACTGGTTTATTGCTTAGAATTATATTGTGTATAAAATGCGTAGAATACAAAAAAACATATAATTGTGCATTTAAAAATGTTTTAACTTCGGATGCTCTTTAGAAATTATTTTAATATTTTGCGAGTCGCACTTGTACTTCAAAACCCGTGCGGTGTGCGCTGAGCGGCCACCAAGGCGCAATTACGAGCAGTCGGTGGACGCTGACTGATGTGCGGACGTTGCAGGTGCTGAACGAGGGCTACATCATGGTGCGCATCGACAGCTACGACGAGGACGCGTCGGGCGCCGACTGGTTCTGCTACCACGCCAGCAGCCCGTGCATCTTCCCGGCGGGCTTCTGCCGGCAGCACGCGATCGCGCTGACGCCGCCCAAGGGCTTCGACGCGGCCGAGTTCGAGTGGGAGGCGTACCTGGCGGCGACGGGCGCGGAGGCGGCGCCGCCCGCGCTCTTCTCGCGCGACGTGCCGGCGCACGGCTTCGTGGTGGGCGCGCGCCTCGAAGCCGCCGACATCATGGACCCGCGCCTCGTCTGCGTCGGCACCGTCTCGCGCGTCGTCGGCCGCCTGCTCAAGGTGCGTCTCTGCCGGGCTCACCTCACGTGACTGCCCTATTCAATTTCAGCCTCATAGTGAATAGGGAGGCTAACTGCCGTTGCGCTCTCTTTTTCTCTTTCTCTCATTTCCCCTTCCCGCCTTTCCCCCTATTTTTTTCTCTTCCCCTCCGTTCTCTCTCCCTTTCTCCCTCTCTCTCCCCCTTTCTCCCTCTCTCTCCCCCTTTCTCCCTCTCTCTCCCC